CTGACCTGTGATGAAATGCCTGTCACCCCAATTGGTTGATTCCATCACAGAACAGCTTCCTCCCGCTTGGGCACAGGACCATGGTATTATAGCCTGGCATCACACCCAAGACTAGACGACACTAGCTTAGATGCCAAACTGGAACTACTTTATTGAACAGAAATCATAGGTTTTTATACACTTCACAAATAGAGAAGTCCCCACATGAACAATAACCACAATAGTATACATTAGGATAAACATCCCACACTGATTAATGAGGTGAAGCTGACATCAGAGTAATATCATCATGTAGGAGCCTCCAAGAGGACCTGCCAACAGACAAACAATAGGTGACTCAGTTAACTCAATTAACAATGGAATTCACACCTAGGTGGCACACAATGAGAGAAAGACAGTAAATACATAACACCTTAATAAACAGATTACACCAAGAGTCCCCAGCATCAGGTTTGTTTTGAGCTGATTATAAGAACATCTTAGAGTCTCTGAGACTAGGAAGGGAGGGTTGAAGCAGTCAATGCTGGTTTGAGCACAGAGACCCCAAATCTGTATCCTGGTCCTCCAGTTCTCAGAGTCTGTGTGTTTTGGAGAGACATGAACTTGAACCCGAAGCAAACTGTTTCAAAGGCCCCCCAGACACACACCAAAGAATTGAGCCCCCTCAGATGCCAGGGACATGGTCAGTAGGCAAAAGGCTAGCCTGCAGTCCCCTCCAAAAGCCCCTGTCCTGGTTGGGTCTGTCACATGACCTATTTTGCTTGGAAGACCTCTGGCATTGGTGAACACTTTAATTTATATTTTCACATTTTGCGTGTTTTGCATATTTTTTTGCAGCTGTACCCCAATGAAAAGTCAGCCCAGTGCCAGAAACCAAAATCCATCCCTCTTAAACCAAGTCTTTATTTATGCAATCAGTTCTCTAAGCTCCCCCTGTCTTTCCAGTGTTACGCATGTCACAGGCAATATTTCAGTTAATATCTAACTAATAATTAGTGCAGCGCTACTTATACATAAAAATCCAAATCAATAATGGTGCATTATAAATATAAAAAAATAAGTGAATAAGTCCTTTCCCTTCAATGGGTACATAATTCAATCCTTGTGAAACCCTTCTGAATCAGAGGGACAAGGGTTGCTGTCCCCCTGTGTCTAAGACACAGATAACTGTGAGATGTTAAGTAGTTTGGTAAGTCACTTATTTGTCTTATAGTAACTATTGGCAAAAAACTGGAAATCTTACAGTGAGCATGGAGTTAATTACTAAACAAACTTTCTACATATTATACTTGTTCACTACTGTTCATTATAGATGGCTATAGTCTATTATGGTGAGATCTTTTGAAACTTAAAGTGTTACTAAACCCACAGTAAAACAGTAAAATCAGTCTGTATATGCAGTAAAGCATGCTTGTTATACTTTCTGTGGAACCTAAGGGGTTAATCCTCCGCATTGTGTAAAAAGGCTGTTTGATCCTGTCTTCTATGATCCTCCTTTTCTTCTACAGTCCCCAATCCATCTGCTGATAGAACAGAGCCTTGGGGGCAAGCTGCACATGCTCAGTTTGGTGTGTATTTGTAGAGAGTTTTTTTCCTTTAGAAAGTGCATGTAATCAGCACAGGGCCAATCAGTGCTGTCTAGACAGAGGTTTAGGGGTCCTGCAGCATCAGGAGAGAATGAACACTCCTCCTACAAGCTTTAACCAGTGTTCTGCTGGACACTGATAAAAATCACAAGACTGCTATATACTGTTGATGAGAAAAGTTATGTAGCAGGTTATATTTACTAAAATAATTGCATTTCCATGTTCTGTGTACTGTGGGAGACCAGATATAGTGAATGCATGGTCATGGGTTTAGTGACACTTTAAATATACCCAAACAGAAGTTAACCTGAATAATAATTGACATGAAATTCAGAGTCCATTTGCAATAACTATTGCTCATTATGCCACAAGGTAAACCTTTCCTTTCTTTTTGCTAGTTTGTTATGCTGATGCTCCATAGTATAAATATAAAAAATGCTGTCAACATCAATGAGCTCTAATTACATTTTGTCAGTTATCATTGGGGCTATATTGGCCTGGATAGGCCTACTTTGCTCCCTCTTTGATTGTGGAGCAGTGTAGCAAATAGCTGTGGGGGGAATGTTGGAATTGGTTGTAGGGCTAAGAGATGTTAGTGTATGATAAGCAACCCCTGTGGTGGGTACTCTCACTCTTGAGGAAGTCAATGGAAGTAACATGTAGAGTTGAGTCAGAGTTATGTCTCAGTATAGCTTTATCATTTTTCAACAAAGGTCTTTTATACTCAAAATTTTGAGAATCATTTTGAATTAATGTCTTAAAAGTACTTCCCAGGAAACCTGTGCTGTTTTGTTTGTACTTATGCTAATCAAGTGTAAATCAAAAAATCCTGGAAAAATCATCCAAAAATCTACTGTATACTAGGACAATGGTACCAAGTTAAAATTCTCATTACAGAATGTTCAAGAAACAAGCATGACAAGAACAGATCTACATCATGGACTTTATCAATGTACTGTTGTAAATTAAGATTTTTCAAATTTTGATGGACTTATTACATCTAGACCGAGTGATGAACTATAGATACTAAGATCTGAAAATGTAGAATGTGGAGATCATTATGTATTCAGGGAGCAATTCACAAAGTGGTATCTTTACTGCACAGTGTTTTTCAAAACGTTTGACAGCATTCACTAAAGAACGCTACTAAAATACCGCATGAGTTATTTTATGAAGTCATACGGTATTTTAGTAGAGATAACATACGGTAATGGATCAAGTAATCAGTTGTCAGCCAGAATTTTTTTTTAATCTTGCCATGGGGGATTCCTTCAAAATCCATAACAGTCCCCGAGGGCCTGGAATGGATTGGTGGGGGATGCCATGCCTTTTTTTCTTATGTTTTAATTGCCGGCAGTTTTGTTTTACAATCAACCAATGGCTCATCGGTTGTTAAGGATGCAGCATTCGCCTGTTCCTTAACAACCATGACAGTTACTGTCATGTTAAGGACCCTGTTGGCTGCTCACTCCTTAACAACCATGCTGGTTGTTAACACAGGTGGATTGCGTCTCCTTAACAAGCAGCGCTATTTAATTCTTTGAATAACACGTGGCTTGAACGCAAATTATTCAATGAATGTACTTATATATTTATTTAGCCTTATGAATTGACTTTAGAGTCAGTTTATGCATTTACTGTGCTTTTTTTAACGTTTGTGGTAAATACCGCATAAACTGACTGTGACTAGACATTTTGAATATCGCATGAGATAAATAAAGATAATATAGATAAATGTGTCAGATGCTCCAATTATCTCATGCAATATTCTTTAGTGAATTGAGCCCTCAAAGAGACATTTCATATTACAACTGGAAAAAGGTCAGAACATTTTATTTCATATAAACATACATTATTATATGTGTGGCCTAGTCTCATTGGCCTGAAGAGGGTGACTGTTTACATACTATTTATAGGTTTATGTGAAATCTCCATTGGAAAATGTAAAATGTTATGAACAGATATTTTTCTTCAATAGGTGCATGTAATTTAACTATATTGTTAGCTATCTATCTAAATACTTCTTCTTTCTGTAGGTTCTTGAGGTAGAGGCCATATAATTTGAAACAAATGACAGGGTGTATTCAGTTCCAGATGTTATGCTAAATAAATGGCAATAGGCTCAGAGAACAACCACAGACCAGTTAGTGCAAGAGTCCTTTATTTATACAATGGGAGCAAACTCTGTTTCATTTCCAGATATCAGCTTCAATGCATTATCTTGTTTAGCTAAACAATTAGGTTGGCCGGCTTATATAGCTTTACGGTGCTGTACAGGACACCAAGGATGGTTCCAGGATGGGTGCTATGTTGCACCAATATTTGGGTTATGGTTCCTTTAGGAGAAATGTGTGTGTACTCAAGGGTCTCACCTGTGATGGGTGAGGTATTCTGGGGTATTCATGTAAAGGAGAGGACTGACTCGCAGTCCTCTTGGTATTAGTAGAGACATATTTGGGATCTGGGTTTTGGAGGTTTGGAGTGACATTCAGCTGGGTAAAGAACCTCCACTCCTGCCTACAGGGTTAAACAGGCTCCAGGAAGAAGGACATAAAACAGGAAGCTCTGAGTAATAGTTGTGGGGAGTAGGAGTTTTGAGGGAGACCAGTTGGAGTGCTGCACATCTTCTGGGAGATGCCAAACAGCCAGAGTTGGACAGTGCTAATCATGGGGTAAGTCCAGTCTATGAACTTTATGTTTCCTGTTTGTGCTGAAGATAAGCTGACTTTTTTATTATGTTTCCCGGAGTTAAGTGAATTCTGTGTTGCTGTTGAAGGTACTGTTTTTTTACATTTAAAGAAAAATAAACACCTTTATGTTTAAGACAAATGGCTTTGACCCCGAGGAGCAGTTAGGTATTTAATCCTTTGCAAGAAAAGGCAGAGATTTTTGGTAACAAAAACTATTTTAAAGTATCCAATGCTGAGGAGTAGTCTAATTTAAGTAGAATAGTGATAGTAGCTCAACAATCTGTGTGACTCAGTGTAAGTCTATGGAAGCTAATTCTATAATAATCCATGCAATTGCGGGAAAAAAGAGCTTTCAAAACAAGAATGGGGCTTTCACATAGTTACATAGTTGATTAGGTTGAAAAAAGACACCAGTCCATCCAGTTCAACCTGAGTATTTCTGTGTGTGTGTATATAGATCACTATCAGTTTCAATAAACCTGTACATTGTGATTACTGAGAAACACATCTAAAAGTTTTTTTTTTAAATTTATCTACACAACCAATTGTGGAAGGAAGTTCCACATCCTTACCACTCTATCTGTTAATAACTAGAGATGAGCGAAGTATTAAAAAATTCGATTCGGCTGATTCGGCGAATTCGAGGGAATAAATTTGATTCAATGCGAATATATTCGCTGCGAATTTAACTTATAAAAGGGTGTTTCTAGGCTTCAGAGAGCCTTCATATTAGTGCAGAACACTGTACCTTTAATTTAAATGCCCTTGGAGTCTGCTGGGAAGAGAAATAATACTGTCAGTCAGTATGACATGCAGATGAGTGCCGTCGATCTTAGAATCACCGCACACTTCACTCATTTGGGCAGTCACGGGGCCAAAACCAGAGTGTGGAGCCACAGTGTGGCGGTGGAGGCAGCAGCAATGGGAGGCCATACAGCACCCTATGACAAAAATGGAACCCACCAGCAGTGTGAGGAGACCTGAAAGTGGCACATGGCAGAGTGTGGCGATGGAGACAGCAGCAATGGGAGGCCGTACAGGGACCCATGACACACTCTGGACCTGGCAGCAGCATGAGGAGGCGGTACGGGGGCCCATGGCAGATTACGGGCCTGGCAGCATCAATGGGAGGCCCATAATCTGCCAGCACCCTATGACAAAAAATGGAACACACCAGCAGTGTGAGGAGACCTGAAAGTGGCACATGTTTGGGGCATGATTCATGGCGGATTTAGTCAGTTGTGTCAGGAAACTGGTGGTTTGAAATCCAGACTAATCCACGCCTGATTCATTTTCACAAACGTGAGTCTCTCCACACTTTGGGTGGACAGTCGTGTCCTCCGCGGAGTTACAATACCTCCTGCCGCACTAAACACGCGCTCCAATGCCACGCTACTGGCCGGGCATGACAGCCTTTCAAGGGCAAATTCAGCTAGTTGGGGCCAAAGGTCAAGTTTCGTTGCCCAGTAGTCAAGGGGATTGTCTACCTCGGTTGGTAGGGTGCTGTCCAAGTAGGCCCAGGTGAAATGAAAGCTATCATCATCGACTGCAAGGACTGAGGCAGCCGCTGCTGGTGGAGCTGCCACTTACTCCTACCACCCCACCCCTCCCCTGCTTGCCATGGCAGTGGAATTGCGAGGCACAGGGCCACACTATGTCTGAAATGGATGGACGTTGGCGCAGAACGGCAGAGGACCAACTGACTCACATAGGTGGGTTTTTAATAGTACGTTATTTTGGCCTCCCTCTCAGCAGGTGTGAATAAGGCCACCCATTCTTTGAACGGGTAGCGAGGGGGTCCCAACAAGGTGGCCAGCCACATGTCATCCACTCTGTCTAATAGTTACTTATATCTGGCTGACTCTACGCAAGCAACCGGAGCATGCTATGGGCTACGTTGTACTTCAAGGAATGCGAGGCGACTCCTGTACTCGAAACAACTTGACACACAGCATACGAGCCACGGTGCATCTTTGTCACACCTGTCTCCTCCTCCTCTACCAGACGCCTCTGCTCCTCCACCTCCTGTCAACACGCTGGAGTGTTAAAAACTGGCTACACCGGTTTCAGGCTCAATAATTAGCCTGAGCAATCCAATGTCCTGCCTCACACTGACACAGCTCGACTCCTCTTCTTCTGTCCTGCCCCCACAGGGGTCATGTGGCGTTGAGTTCTGTGCTGCACATCTACCGCAACCCCTGACCAAGCCAATTGTTAACAGCATTTGTTTTCCAGGTCGTGCACTACCACAGTGAAAAGACGACGTACATCCCATAGACAATTGGCCGACTCTATGATTAGCGTGGCCTTGGCTCAAAGGGCTCCATTGAGCATCTGCTGGTAATCTTGCATGAACCTATGACAAAATGGAATAACAAACGAAAGGAGTGTACACAGGAGAGAGATATCTTTATCAGCTGGTATCATCAGCCAGAATCTGTTGAAGGCAATGGGAGGTTCAGTAACAGGGACCAGGTTCTCACTATGTACAGGTTGACCTCAAGCTTGTTGGCAGCGTCACCGCGTGAGGACTTGGAGTCGTTACAGGGGGCCCATGGATCCGATATGGGGCTTTGGGCGACGAGGCACCTATGGGGAGGCCTGCTATATCTGCCAGCAAACTTTGACAAAATGGAAAACCAAACCCGCTGTGAGGAGACCCGAAAAATGGCAATTGGGAGAGTGTGGGATGGAGAAGCGCAATGGGAGGCC